TCGTGAAACCTGTGGTTTTGCTCGTTAAAGCTCTTTATGGGCATCCTGACGCTGGCGGACTCTGGGAGGCACACCTCAAAGGTTTCATTAGTGAACTTGGAGGGCGTGAGGTCGCAGAGTTTCCTGGAAACTTCTGGTTCAAGGAGTCCGGGTTACTTCTCTCGACATACGTCGACGACTTGACGTTGGCCGGCCCCAGCCACCTTCATAAAGACTTCTGGGAAAAGTTAACAAGACTGGTAGATATAGAACCCCCAGAAGACATATATCGGGTGCTAGGCAGGAATCACCTTTTGATAGATGCTCCAAAGGACCCAACTGAACCCGATCTTAATGCCGCAATGGGCAGATTGAAAGGGGGCATGGCGATCGACATGCGAGATTATGCTCGTCAAACCGTTGCATTATATCTTGAGGTTGCACAGCTAAAAACTGAAAAGTTGCGTGATGCCACCACTGCAGTCTGTCCCGCCGGATCTCTAGACCCTGCAGATGACGCCTTGGAGGGTGAGCTCGGCTTCGCCGCTTGCCGCGTGTTGATGAAAGCCTTATGGCTCGGCCGTTTGGCACGCCCGGACCTGGTCAAGCCCATCGGCGACCTTGCTTCCTTTGTTCAGAAATGGTCTAGAAACTGCGATAAGCAGCTACATAGGCTTGATGGAAATCATGTGGCTCACGTAGTCGCGGCAGAAGTTGACGAGTTGTCCAGCGCTGACAAATCGTAGTAGAACTTCTGGTGGAATGTGTAGTTGGATGATGACCATCGAGTTACTGGGTTGTGAGGTGTAGTGATGTAAGGTTGTAGTAGTAGAAGTTGACTGCCTCTGAAAGACGTAGGTGAAGAGGTAGTGAGTCGTAGTGTGGCATCCGTAGGTCTGAAGGTAGGTCGTGAACTGGTAGGTTGTAGTTGGGCTCGGGGATGGGTGTAGTTTGTTGTTGACTTAGTAGTTGGAACTCCTCGAGCGTCAAAGCCGCGTAGACCCTGAAGTAGTTCTGCTCCGGGTCGATCGCTGGAGTGTCGGGGATGTTGTTCTCAGTTGTAGTGAGGTGTGCCAAGATGTCGTCGGGTCTGTAGAAAGGTGCCGGTGTGGGTAGTTGGTGATTGAAGTTGTAGTTGAGGGAGTTGTAGGCCTCAGGTGGTGGAGTGGCCAAAGTAGCCATGCTGCCGGAGTCGGTAGTGCCCTGCCGATCCGGTGGTGTGAAAACACGGTCCGGTGTTGTACTGCCAGCCTGTTGTTCGACGGGCAGAGTAGTCTCTGGCGCTGATGTAGTCTCCATCGGCATGATCGCATCCATGGGCGTAGTTCCAGCCATTGCTGGTAGTTCGGCCTATCGAGATGCAGTGAAACGGGGCAGACAGTAGTGAGCCAATGTTAGCTCACAAAAGCACATGCGGGCATGTAGTAAAACACAAAACAACATGTAGTGTTGACTCAAGCCGCCAAAAGCCGCCAAAAGTGCAAGTGCAAATTACTGGTGGTTACAATTACTATTACTTGTAGTCACTGTTACTGTTACTGTTACTTAAATGCAGGTAGTTACATATGGCCATATACAAACTGTTGTGATTGATGTGCAACAGTTGTGAAACAGTTGTTGTTCGTAGTGCTAAACACGTATGCCAATGCTCTGTATGAGCCTCTGTAGTGTTTCTTTGCTAATGTATTTTGTGAACAAGTCTGAGCTGTTGTGTAGTGTGTTGATTTTGAGAATTCTGATGATGTCGTGCTTGATGAGGTCTTGTGTGTAGAGAAATTTAAGCTCGATGTGTTTTGCTCGTTTGCTAGTGCCTTGTCGTGTAGCAATGCTCTTGCCTGCTGTGGAGTCTGTGTGGATGCGTAGATTTAGCTTGCTGCAAATGTTGGTTTCAAGTTTGAAGTTTCTGAGGTGTAGTCCCTCATTGACTCCTGTGCAAATGGCGTAGAGTTCAGACTCTGCTGAGCTGAGTGCTATTGTAGCTTGTGTTCTGCTGCCAAATGCAACTGTTGTTCCTAAAAAGAAAGATGAGCACCACCTACCTACACGCCAGCTACATCAACGACTACACCGAATCACCTACAACTTGGACCAGATCACCACTACATTCAACCTGTCCAACAACTTCATTTGGAACTATCACATGCCCCTGTACCTACCAGAACTACTCAACTACTTCGACCAACCACAACAACTCCAAGACCACCACTACAAGTCCATCAACACGATGCTACACAAAAGTGTCACCTACTACGGCATCACCCTCCTCACGGCTACAAATCTTTCCATGCAACACAAACTACTACTCCACAACTGCCTCACTACCACCGGCCAAGCACTTGCACCACCAGAATGCGACTACAACCGCCTTCGTGGCGGTCCAGACTTCCTCAACACATTCACTACCAACCACTATGCAGGCTTGGACTACCGCATCAGCCAAGTCCAGAACTACCGAGTCCAACACTGGACTAAGCACACCTGATCTCCAGGTGGAGCTGCAACTACGTGCTGTACTACGTCATCGTACTACGAGATGACTGAGAACCAACTAGGGTTCTTGTACAGCAATTTCACTTTTCTGATCATTTGAAGGTTAGTTGAACTACAGACAGCAGCGCTGTAGATACCTACCTTCGGTCATTTTTTTAAGAGACTACATGCCTGTTCGCTACAGTAGCATCGGCAAACAACATGTGCATTCGTTTTTGCCACTACTGTCAATACCACCTTTTGGGTCTATGGTTAAAGGACACTACAAGGCCTTTTAACCAAGGGGCCGTGCCAAATATCATGTTGCACTACTTGTCACTTGTGCATGCATGATGTACACTACCCGACTGCAGGCCTTGAGTCTACCAGGAAAAGAGCGCATGCTGGCTGACTACATTTGTGTTTGTGATAACTCAACAACACTTGCACTAGAAGTAAAGTATCAACGTCTTTTAACGAGAGAGAGAGAGAGAGAGATTAGGGGGGGGGGTCGAAAATGTAAGTTACATTTTGGGGCTCAACTGCCCTGGTTTTCGGGCCCGGGAAGGGGGGGTTCAACAAATGTAAGTTACATTTTTGGGGCTCGAGCCCGGGAGCGGAGGGTCAAACATGCGCCTTTTTCATCGCCAATCCTTCTTCTTGTGTGATGGACGCGTTTGCTGTCAGAGGGTGTAGCACGCGCGCTTGCTGTCAGAGAGTTGTGTAGCAGACGCGCGGGCGCGCCCCGCACGCGCCAACGGCGCAAGGACGCGCGCAGGGCGCACCAACGGCGCGCGCCCACCGGGCTGTCCAGGGCGTCAGCCAGCAGCGCGCTCGGGTGCGTGCAGGGCGCGCCCAGGCCTGGCGCGCCCAGGGCCGGGCGCGTCCAGGGCGCGGCGCGCGGGCGCGCCCCGGGCACGCCAACAGCGCACGGGCGCGAGCAGGGCGCGCCTAGGGACGGGCGCGTCCAGGGCCGGGTGCGTCCAGGGTGCGGCGCGTGCAGGACGCTCAGGCGCGCCCAGGGCACGGGGGTGCCCAGGAGGCAGGCCGGAGCCTGGAAAACTGTGCTGCTAGAAAGAAAACGGACGGTTTAACGCAGTTCCCCCCAAGCTTGGCCCCAACGCCGTCATTGCCACTGCTGTCTCACCCAAGTCGAGGGCCGCTGGCCCTAAGCGCGGCAAGCTGGATCGCGAGCGCGGCAATTTTTGAGCGCGCGGTGCGGACTGCGGGCCTTCGGGCCGCTGGCCCTAAGCGCGGCAGCCTGCTCGAATCTCGCAGACTCGGCTCGCCACGCTTAGGGCCAGCGGCCCTGAGGCCCGCAGTGCGGTCCAGTTAGCCAAAACTTGATTTTTTCTGTTGGCTTGCCGCGTTCTTCATCCAACTTGCCGCGCTTAGCGCCAGCGGCCCTAAGGAGTCGACTTAGGTGAGACAGTTTTACATAGTTGAAATGGGGGCCTGCATCTAGCTGTCCTGGCCCTGGAGCTGTGTCTCGAGCAGGTCCCAGGAATACAACAACGTCAACTCGGTCTACCTCTCCCCTTGACGGACGGCGAGGGATGGCCACCGTTCGGCGGATTGTCCACCGCCTCCTCGCCTCCTTCGAAAATATCCTGATAGCAGGCGCGCGCGCATGGTGAAGATGTCCACAAAACCCCGCACATGGTGCTAGTGCAGCTACGTGATATGTTGCGTGGCATCTCGCCCTGTGTGTCGCATACTCGGTTCTTATTCTACATCCTTCAGGCTTTGAACGGGCAACGTTGTTTGCACAACCCTCCCAAAATACGCAAGCCAGACGGCCACGTCGTGGCATTGGCCAGCGGGCTTCTTGCATGCCTCTTGCTTGACATTTTGGAGTGACAAGCGCAAAGGCGAAGAGCATTTGCCGACAATCAAACGTGTGGCATCGCAGCAACTCTGAAAACTAAGGCCTGCGACCGCGCTAACTGGAGAGTCAGCCACGTCAAAGATTTGCAATGGGAAAGGCTTGGCGCATGTTTTGCATGTTTGACCCCCCGCGCCCGTTCCCCTCCCATGCCTCAAAACCAGGGAACCCCCCCCAAATCAAGGATTAAGGGATTGAGGCAAAGCACACAGAAGGACTAATAGATTTTCCATCGTTTTTAAAGTTTGGCAAAGCACACATCTGGCCCTGGCTCCCTTTTTGACTGTATGCTTTGCGCGTGTGTTTCCGTATTTGCCCATTGCTTTTCCAGAAGCTTCTTGCCCGGCGCAATTCAAGGGGCCCTCCTTATTGGATTGCCTAAAAGCTGAAGGCGTGAACCTCAAACATGTAATATTACATTTTCAGGTCCCCCCCACCCATTGGATTGCCTAAACTGTAGGGGCGCGAACCTCAAAAATGTAATATACAATTTTCAGGCCCCGCCCTTAAGGGGGTGGTGATCACAGACCAATGCATTTTATCATGTGGATATATGGATGTTTGTATTTACAAGCAGCTTGCCACCGGCTGCCAGCACCTTGGGACTCAGAGTTTGCTTTGAAGGCCGTTTCCCCACTCTCAGCCTGCGCTTTGTGATGTGGCTCAGGAAGTGGAGGGTGAGAACGACGATGACGCAGACACTGAAGATGATGATGCCAGAACCGAAGCATCGGACTGCATGTCGGATGTGACTGAAGCTGATGGTGAAGTGCCTAAGACGGTGTTCGACGACATTTGAGTGCCTACACTTCAGAAAGATAGTGAAGGAATGTGAAGGTGAAATCACAATCATGGTCGAAAGGGTGTGCAGCTTGTGGGAGGGTTTTGCATTAGGACACGCGTGTCCTTTTTGTCCGGTCACCTGCGCAACAAACAGGATGCTGGTCTTCGGCAGTTGGTCGACCTGCTGCGAAGCTGTGATGTGCATGTCAGCTTGGCAGAGGTTGTGTCATGTTGTGTCAATTCTGGCTGCGACAAGAGAAGCTGCTGAGGTGAAGATACTGAACTTGGACGCGAACCAGCTGACCGAAGCGCCAGCAACTGAAAGGTCAGGGTCGCCCTCTGGCAGGTATCAGCTTCTCAACTTCAGATTGCTGAATTCTGGTTGGTCTGAGGTCTCTTGTTACGATCTCGGATCTCATCACGGAGTCACGGCTGCCAATTTCAGCTGCCAGCGCCTGAGAGACGAAGGTGACATGCATGGCGATATGCACTGCAGTGTTCCAAAGGTCCGAATGGAAAACAACCGGGTGCAGGACACCTTGACACAGAAGAGCATGCTGCAAGCCGATGAGGGTATGTGAGTGACCTGCAGGGCTCATACGGCTTAATGCACTTAGCACGAGCCCTGAATGTCAACGCAGTGCACCCAGGTAGACTGCGACGGTTCATCCTGTTTTATGCGGCACTGCAGGCACAGTACCCCATGTTTCTGTCGGAGACGCAGCGTTACACTCCGTTGATGCTTCACCTGGTGCGCAGCCCAGTAGATCCGGGCATTCGTTTGCCCGGCCAGCATCCTAGGCCGGGAACTTGATCCAGCGCCCCATGCAAGTCACGCAGTTGGTGAAGGAAGCCTTCGACAACAAGTTCCCGTCCCTTTCAGAGGACAAATGACAAGCTGCGTCGCCATGCCTCGCTATGCCTCTCTCTTTGAATTTGATAGGAGCGGCAGTTCTGGGAGGCAAAGCTGCATTGCCCTCCACTTCAACTGTGGGTAGCTGAGATGGCACCGTTGGAACTGGCTAGCCGGTGAGCAAACGGCTGCGAGGCCGTCCTTTGAGAAGCAGGAGACATCGTGGCAGTGATGGAGTTCAGCTATTGCGGGGGGTGCACAGGCAAAAGCTGGAGCGGATGTGCCAAGCGAACTTGATAGAAGCGACTGCCTGGCAGATCTTTGACGCCTCTAAGATCTTTGCATGCCTTCAGATTTTTGTGGCTCCAACACAGTTTGGACCGAGTTTGGCATCACACTTGTCACCGCCAAGGTCAGCTGTTAGGCATTGTTCAAGCATCCAACGTCACATCCGCCCGCTGTGATGATGGATTCCGAGACGTGGTCCATTGGCAGCCTGAATCCAGAGGCACGAGAAGTAGCAGCTGACTCAAAATTGCTGCGCTTCTCGTTCTTCTACGCTGGGATTGGCTCACTTCTTGCCTGGCAAGTTGTCTTGTGCCTGGGCTCAAGACGGTCAGTGTAGTTGATGCTTGCGATTGCTTGTGCATTGCGCATCACTGTCACAGGGTTGATCTGTAAGGACCTTTATTCACAGCTTCGACTGCAATGTGTTTCTTGGACGGCGCTTCTATGGCGCTGGATGGGCGTTTTGGTGCACAATAGTCTACTCGCTCATGGTGGTGGTAGCCCAGCTCGTGCTGACAAGCCGCACGGTCGTTGCCCGCATTCCCTTTACGCTCCGCTGGAATGTGGCTGCAATTGCTGTGGCGCTATCATTGATTGGCCTGCTGCTCTGCCATACCTACATCACAGAGGACTCGCTCGGCATGGGCCGCTTAGCAGGAACAGTAAGCATGTGAAAAGCATGGAAGGTCTCGCTGTACAATAGTTGGGTGTGCTTGCGACGGTTGCAAGGCTTTGCACTGGGGATTTCTTGCATGGCGCGCGGGTGCTCAGTTAGTGCGTAAAGCTTCATTTTTCAGCATGGAAGTAGGCATGCAAGGGTAAGGAGCACCCTCCTGCTCAAAGGCGCTGATTGGCTTAGCAAATAAGCTGCTACAAAGCAGGGAGCACAGCGGGCCAAGGTGCATGGGTGCGGCTGCAGGCGGGTTTGACTATGCAATGCCTGCAATTCATTTGCTTTTCCCTGAGCTCGGTGCAAACTGGCTACTTGCAAGACTTGAAATATGCTTTCTGTGTTGAAGCCCTGAGGCATTTGGCAAGCCACAGCTTTCGGCCTTGCGGGCTGCCTCTCGCCCATGTTTGCTCAATCCCTGATGCTGGGTCAGGGCATGGGTGGAGCGTGGCCTGGCGGCATGCTGGCAGTGAAAGGTTCGCGTGAAGCGTTTTAGCCAGCTCCCGCATGTGAGAGTACGCTTGTGTCTGTGCGCGTGTGTGTGTGGGTCTGGGTGTGGGTGTGGGCGTGCTCGTCACAGCAATCTCTACTGCTAAGGCTCACGAGTATCATTGGCTTTGCCTTTGCTGGCACACAGACGGGGTTGATCATTAGCTTTGTTCTGGCAGCTGCTTTCGAGCTGGGCGGCATTCCTGTCCTCTATGTAATGCGCAGACACCCGCCCCTTGGCTGCATTGGTGGGCCCACCTTCAAGTCAAGTTCTTAGATCAGATAGTTCCACATGTTCAACAGGATTATTCTTCTTTCATGTCCCATATCTGGGCCCACCTCTAAGTCAGATTTTCAGATCACACAGTTCAACGTGTTCCTCGCATCTCTTATTTTCTCATGCATCATTGGTGGGCCCACCTCCAAGTCAAGTTCTTAGATGAGATATTTCCACATGTTCAACACGTCTTCTCATTTTTTGATGTCCTGTGTCTGGGCCCACCTCCAAGTCAGATTTTCAGATCACACAGTTCAACGCGTTCCTCGCATCTCTTATAGTCCTGCCGCCCAGTGCCGCCGACCCCAAACCAGTTTGGGAATGGCTGAAATGAACGGGGCCGCTTCAAAATGGGGCCGCGATGGGTCCCCTCTTGTAGCCAGGGTGCGGTGCATTTTTGCTTTGCTTTCGGGTGAAAATGCACCGCTTTTATGATGATGATGATGATGATGATGATGATGATGAACTGACATGATAATCATCATGACGCATCCTTAGCATCACCCGCAGTCATCGTGATAATGCGCTTTGATTGGCACGCTTCCATAGAACCTGCGCCCATTCTGGAGCGATCGTTTTCTTTCCTTGGCTTGGTGCATTTTTGTAATAATCTGGTAAGAAAATGCGCCGCTGTAAGTGCCTACAATTCTGCTGCTGCTGGGAGCATGTGCCGTGACGTTGCGTTTGCAGTAGAGGCTCATCGCCGGTCACCCCGCAAGCCAACCAGTTTTCTCGCCGCAAGTCGGGGCCGCGATGGGTCCCCTGTTGTAGCCAGGGTGCGGTGCATTTTTGCTTTGCTTTCGCGTGAAAATGCACCGCTTTGATGATGATGATGATGATGATGATGATGCTGAGCTGACATGATAATCATCATGACGCATCCTCAGCATCACCAGCAGGCATCATGATAATCATGTCCACGCATCTTCTGCATCTCAAATCGGCTCTAACGGGACTGATGATGATGATCATGATGATGATGATGAACTGACATGATAATCATCATGACGCATCCTCAGTCATCATGATAATCATGTCCACGCATCTTCTGCATCTCAAATCGGCTCTAACGGGACTGATCATGATGGGTGGTCATTATCCATTGTAATCATCATCATCATCGTCATGATCGTCATCATCATCGTGATCATCGTCGTCATCATCATGGATGATAACCATCATCGTGCATCCTCTGCATCACCAGCAGTCATGATGATAATCATGTCTACGCATCCTCTGCATCTCCAACCAGGTCACAACGATGATGCTGTGATGATGATGAGCGTGTCATCATCACCATGATGGTGATCATTATCGTCATCGTCATCATCATCATCGTCATCATCATCATCGTCATCATCGTCATCATCATCATCATCGTCATCATCATGGATCACCATGATGGTGGTCAGTATCGTTATCATCATCGTCATCATCATCATCGTCGTCATCACGGACGATAACCATCATCATGCATCCTCTGCATCACCAACAGTCATGATGATAATCATGACTACGCACCCTCTGCATCTCCAATCGGGTCTAACGCTACCCTTGAAACCTATGTAAACAAGATAAGGACGACAACGGTTATGATGTGATATACTGACAAGCGTGTCATCATCATCATCATCGTCATCGTCATCATCACCGTTATCATCATCGATGATACCCATCATCGTGCATCCTCTGCATCACCAACAGTCATGATGATAATCATGTGTACGCATCCTCTACATCTCCAATCAGGTCACAACGATGATGATGTGATGACGATGAGTATGTCATCATCACCATGATGGTGGTCATCATCGTCATCATCATCATCGTCATCATCAGCAGCATCATCATCATCATCGTCATCGTCATCATCACCGTTGTCATCATGGACGATAACGATCATCGTGCATCTTCTGCATCACCAACAGTCATGATGATAATCATGTCTACGCACCCTCTGCATCTCCAATCGGCTCTAACGTCACCCTTGAAACGTATAAAAAAGATAAGGACGACAACATCATGTCTATGCATCCTCTGCATCTCCAATCAGGTCACAACGATGATGATGTGATGATGATGAGCAAGTCATCATCTCCATGATGGTGGTCATTATCGTCATCATCATCATCATCGTCATCACCACCATGGATGATAACTATCATCGTGCATCCTCTGCATCACCAGCAGTCATGATGATAATCATGACTACGCACCCTCTGCATCTCCAATCGGGTCTAACGCTACCCTTGAAACCTATGTAAACAAGATACGGACGACAACGATTATGATGTGATATACTGACAAGCGTGTCATCATCATCATCATCGTCATCATCATCAGCATCATCCTCGTCATCGTCCTCGTCATCATCACCGTTACCATCATCGATGATAACCATCATCGTGCATCCTCTGCATCACCAACAGTCATGATGATAATCATGTCTACGCATCCTCTGCATCTCCAATCAGGTCACAACGATGATGATGTGATGATGAGCATGTCATCATCACCCTGATGGTGGTCATTATCGTCATCATCATCGTCATCATCATGGATGATAACCATCATCGTGCATCCTCTGCATCACCAGCAGTCATGATGATAATCATGTCTACGCTTCCTCTACATCTCCAACCAGGTCACAACGATGATGATGTGATGATGATGAGCGTGTCATCATCACCATGATTGTGGTCACCATCGTCATCATCACCATCGTCATCATCATCAGCATCATCATCATCATCGTCATCGTCATCATGGACGATAACCATCATCGTGCATCTTCTGCATCACCAACAGTCATGATGATAATCATGGCTACGCACCCTCTGCTACGATGACGGCATTGCTTACGCTGATAATGTTGAATCTTCGGCCATGCTCATTTACCAACCAACCTTGGACTTGTGCTGTAACCACCCTTCCCGTGCGCCTCCCCCTTTGAGGAGAAGGGGTCGGCGGATTTTCTCATGCATCATTGGTGGGCCCACCTCCAAGTCAAGTTCTTAGATGATATATTTCCACATTCATTTTTTGATGTCCTGTGTCTGGTCCCGCCTCCAAGTCAGATTTTCAGATCGCATAATTAGTTGAACACGTTCCTCCCGTCTCTCATTTCATCATGCATCATTGGTGGGCCCACGTTCAAGTCAAGTTCTCAGGCAGAAAGTTCCACATGCTCAACACTCCTCTTCATTTCTTATGTCCTATTTCTGGTCCCACGTTGACGTTTATTCTCAGATCACATAGTTCAACACGCTCGTCGCATCTCTTTGTTCTCATGCATTATTGGCGGGCCCACCTTCAAGTGATGTTCTTAGATTAGATAGTTCCACATGTTCAACACATTCTTCTTGTTTTCTCATGTTCTTTTTCTGGGCCCACCTTCAAGTCAGACTCAGAAATCGCATAGTTCAGCACGTTCCTCGCATCTCTTTTTTGTCTCACGCACCATTGCCTACCTTCAAGTCGAGTTCTCACCTCCGCGTCGGATTCTCGGATCACATAGTTCAGCACGTTCCTCTATGTCAAGTTCTTAGATCAGATAGTTCCACATGTTCAACACTTCCTTTCTTTTCTCATGTCCAATCACTGGGCCCTCTTCCAAGTCAAATTCTCAGATCACGTAGTTCAACACGTTCCTCTTTTTTTTCTCACGCACCATTGGTGGCCCGCAGTCGAGTAAAGTTCCTAGATCAGATCGTTCCACAAGGACATCACTTCTCTTCTTGTATCATGTCCTGCGTCGGGTCCCACCTCCAAGTCAGATTTTCAGATCACACAGTTGAACATGTTTCTCGCATCTCTTGTTTGTCATGCACCAGTGGTGGGCCCACAATCGAGCCAAGTTCCTAGATCAGATAGTTCCACATCTCCAACGCTTCTCTTCATCACATAGTTCAGCACGGTTATTGCATCTTATGTTTTCATGAAGCCTTCGTGGGCCCACGTTACAAGTCAAGTTCTTAGATCAGATAGTTCCACATGTTCAACACTTCTCTTCATCACATTGTTCAACACATTATTCGCATCTCTCGTTTTTCAATCACCATTGGTGGGCCCACCTGTGAGTCAAGTTCTTCGATCAGATAGTTCCACATGTTCAACACTTGTCTTTTTTTCTCTTGTCTTTTTCTGGGCCCACCTCCAAGTCAGATCCTCAGATCACATAGTTCAGCACGTTCCTCGCATCTCTCGTTTTCTCATTCATCATTGGTGAAGTCAAGTTTCTTAGTTCAGATAGTTCCACATGTTCAACACTTGTCTATTTTTCTCGTTTTTTTCTGGGCCCACCTCCAAGTCAGATCCTCAGATCACATAGTTCAGCACGTTCCTCGCGTCTCTCGTTTTCTCATTCATCATTGGTGAAGTCAAGTTCTTAGATCAGATAGTTCCACATGTTCAACACTTGTCTTTTTTCTCTTGTCTTTTTCTGGGCCCACCTCCAAGTCAGATCCTCAGATCACACAGTTCAGCACGTTCCTCGCGTCTCTCGTTTTCTCATTCGTCATTGGTGAAGTCAAGTTCTTAGATCAGATAGCTCCGCATGTTCAACACGTCTCCTCTTTTTTCTCTTGTCTTTTTCTGGGCCCACCTCCAAGTCAGATCCTCAGAACACATAGTTCAGCACGTTCCTCGCGTCTGTCGTTTTCTCATTCATCATTGGTGAAGTCAAGTTCATAGATCAGATAGTTCCACATGTTCAACACTTGTCCTTTTTCTCTTGTCTTTTTCTGGGCCCACCTCCAAGTCAGATCCTCAGATCACATAGTTCAGCACGTTCCTCGCGTCTCTCGTTTTCTCATTCATCATTGGTGAAGTCAAGTTCATAGATCAGATAGCTCCGCATGTTCAACACGTCTCCTCTTTTTTCTCTTGTCTTTTTCTGGGGCCCACCTCCAAGTCAGATCCTCAGATCACATAGTTCAGCACGTTCCTGGCGTCTCTTGTTTTTTCATTCATCATTAGTGAAGTCAAGTTCATAGATCAGATAGTTCCACATGTTCAACACGTCTCCTCTTTTTTCTCTTGTCTTTTTCTGGGCCCACCTCCAAGTCAGATCCTCAGATCACATAGTTCAGCAAGTTCCTCGCGTCTCTCGTTATCTCATTCATCATTGGTGAAGTCCAGTTCATAGATCAGATAGTTCCACATGTTCAACACTTGTCTTTTTTCTCTTGTCTTTTTCTGGGCCCACCTCCAAGTCAGATCCTCAGATCACATAGTTCAGCACGTTCCTCGCGTCTCTCATTTTCTCATTCATTTGGTGAAGTCAAGTTCTTAGATCAGATTGTGCCGCATGTTCAACACGTCTCCTCTTTTTTCTCTTGTCTTTTTCTGGGCCCACCTCCAAGTCAGATCCTCAGATCATACAGTTCAGCACGTTCCTCGCGTCTCATTTATCATTCATCATTGGTGAATCAAGTTCATAGATCTGCCGCATGTTCAACACGTCTCCTCTTTTCTCTTTTTTTCATAGTTCATAGTTCAGCACGTTCCTCGCGTCTCGTTTTCTCATTCATCATTGGTGAAGTCAAGTTCATAGATCAGATAGTTCCACATGTTCAACACTTGTCCTTTTTCTCTTGTCTTTTTCTGGGCCCACCTCCAAGTCAGATCCTCAGATCACATAGTTCAGCACGTTCCTCGCGTCTCTCATTTTCTCATTCATCATTGGTGAAGTCAAGTTCTTAGATCAGATTGTGCCGCATGTTCAACACGTCTCCTCTTTTTTCTCTTGTCTTTTTGTGGGCCCACCTCCAAGTCAGATCCTCAGATCACATAGTTCAGCACGTTCCTCGCGTCTCTCGTTTTATCATTCATCATTGGTGAAGTCAAGTTCATAGATCAGATAGTCCGCATGTTCAACACGTCTCCTCTTTTTTCTCTTGTCTTTTTCTGGGCCCACCTCCAAGTCAGATCCTCAGATCACATAGTTCAGCACGTTCCTCGCGTCTCTCATTTTCTCATTCATTTGGTGAAGTCAAGTTCTTAGATCAGATTGTGCCGCATGTTCAACACGTCTCCTCTTTTTTCTCTTGTCTTTTTCTGGGCCCACCTCCAAGTCAGATCCTCAGATCACATAGTTCAGCACGTTCCTCGCGTCTCTCATTTTCTCATTCATTTGGTGAAGTCAAGTTCTTAGATCAGATTGTGCCGCATGTTCAACACGTCTCCTCTTTTTTCTCTTGTCTTTTTCTGGGCCCACCTCCAAGTCAGATCCTCAGATCACGTGGTTTAACACGTTCCTCGCGTCTCTAATGTTTTCATGTATTGTGTACTCTTTGCCAGAGCTTGGGCCAGTGATTGAAACTCTCAGGACGGTTCAGGAAAAGTTGAGCGGCAGCAAGCCTCCGAGTGTGCAGGAGACCGCCTTAGCTTCTTGCGGCCTTTTGCCTGAGTCACTGAGTGCCCTTGAGCTCAGGGAGCATCACCACCAGGCAGCCCGATGCTCACACGCGCAAGGTCCTCTGGGCAAATCCTGGTGCAGAATGCGTGGCCTCAGGCAAGTTGGAGACCCCCTCAAGCTGCCAATTCAAATCAGTTTGATGAGCGCAGGCAATCACTGTGGGAGCTGTGTTCATGTTCACCTTCACCATCTTCCCAGGTCTGGGTCTCAAGTTGCTGCAAGCTGCTAAGAGCGTGTGCGACTCAGGTGTTGTCTCGGGCTTTACTCCGGGCAGTCGAGTCTCACTCCTGATCTCTACCTTCCAAATGCTGGATGTTGTTGGCCGCTTTGCGCCGCAGTGGTCTGCGCCTACTCAGCAGGGCAAAATTTGTGATTTGTGATTTCTTTGCTCGCAAGCCGATAAGCACGACAGACTTGGCCAAATGGCTCAATTTGATTTGCCACGAGGCTCTTCACATCCAAGATGGGAAACTGGTGTCTGTGTTGGCCGCGGCCCGTGTGCTCTTCATCCCTCTCTTCATCCTGATGCAGCGCGAAAGCATGCAGAGCTGGGCACAAAGCGCCGCCGTGCAGTTCACTGTAATGGCTGCGCTCTTACATGAACTTGTGCTCGCTTGTCGCTGAAGTGAGTTCAGCTGCAAGGTCCTACTGGCTTTCTCAAATGGCTATGTGCGGCGCTGAGTGCGTTGAATGACTCGACACGATTTGCAGTGAACACATTGGTTGCAAATTGCAAGGTGTCCACGCTGTCCATGATGCTCGGCCCAGAGCAAAGAGGAATCTCTCCAGATGAGAAATCACCGGTGGGCACTGTGATGTGTCACGGCCGCACAAAGCGTAATCGCAATCTCTGCACACACACACACTGCCAGTTGTCCAGCTGTGTTTTTGCTGAGGTCATTGTCCCTGGTGACCGGCATCTTTATTGGCTCAATGCTGGCTCTTCCAACACAGATTGGATTGACAGCTGCAAAAGCATGCTCTTGAATCTCGAACCGCTTTGCGCCACTGAGCAATCGCAGGATACGAGACCAAAAGACGCTCTTGCCACACACATGTGGCAGCTTCAGTGACAAAATGGATCCCTGTCAGCTTAAAGGACTGGACTGCCTTGTTTGTTCGAAAAGCACAATTGGTCTGAAGCAATTTTGTCACCAGACGTGCTTGTGACCTTGCAACGCAAGACCCCTTAAAATGTTTTTGTATCACCACACATCATCATGACTTTGCGTACTAGGTGAAGAACATTGTATCTATCAATATTACATAATATTACTGTCTGAGTAGCCCCTGCAAATTGGCGCAACATGGGGCCGCGAAAGCTTGAGACCGCTTTTCGGCAGGGATGCGAGCAAATATGCTGGCCAGAGGAGCGGCAAGAGTCCGATGCTGGAATCATAATCATGTGTAGGCTGGGGCCCTGTTTTCTGAAAACGATGTCCTTAAGCCAGGCACCTGTTTTTGTTGACGATAAGGCCTTCAGAGCGTCATAATTGAGTTTCTTTGAAGGGCTTTGGGGCTGCAGGCAAGGTTGAAGTGGATAGCGCAGCTTCCAGCGATATAAGAATTATTGCCTTTTTTGCCTTCCCCTCGATGGACATTAAGGTCCTTCATGTAGCTTGGAATCGCATGGTACATAGCTCGCATGGCGAAAGTCAGTTTTTCAAGCATGTGCGAAAGACACGCGAAAGGTTCGCGCAAGGTCCGCAAGAGTCTCTCCGGCCCCACCTTCAGGACCTTTCTGGAAACGCTGAGCCATGTGTTCCAAACCCTCCCGCGCTCCACGGAAGGGTGGTCCAATGGTCCAATGTGGTCCGCGACAGGAAGATTACGCGCGGAAACGCGTACCTACGGTCTATGATGCTACATTGACATCGGCAGTCCAGCAATATAAGTACAACAGGCAATTCTGCCTGCAACCTCGAATGGAGATGCTCGAAAATACAAACGACAAGACAGAGTAGGGAGACGAAACCGCGCCCACCCACAACCCAGCGCCATTATTAGGCACGGAGATCACATCATCCCGCTCCAATAATGGGGCCCAAGCCAAGAAAAAAACAACGCTCCGAGAATCGCGACCCAAAGGACATAAATTCCTCGTGCTGCCGAAAGAGACAGCAAAGCAAACAGAATGCTGAACGAAACATTCGCAATCAGAACTTATCGAAGAAATAATCGAGAGCTTCAAGTAGACATAAAGGAATATCCAAATAGCGCTCCTTCGAGCACACCTGCAAAATCACCTCCCGATGCCTCTCGCACGCCAAGTGGTGGCTTCTCTGCAAATCAAGCGAGACCCGGGTTTTAAATTGAGCCCAAGTGGTCCCAAGAGGTTGAGCATGTTTTTCATGAGCAATGTTCTGTGCAACACATTGATTACGCAAATCGTCATGAGCGCGCTTATGCTCGGCATGTTGGCGCGCAGCCGCAAGTGATTCCCGCGCAGCCACCCCCTAATACGAGATTGGAAAGGAGAAGTAACCGCTATATCAAGAGCCAATCGGGGAAAACGACTCCAAGACGATTAAGGATTTGTGGAGTTCCCATCACCAGAACATCGGCAGGTCTAACAAGGGGGTCAGTAGGTAAAAGGTTCGAAGGCTCCAAAGAAGGTCGCGCCCCAGCCTGCAAGGACAAAGAAAATACAACATTCTTCAAAATGGTGTAGCCTATGTCCCATATAATGAAAACTATGAAAACCATGGTAATTATATCAACTCGAAGTTACATGTTGACTTAAATGTATATTTTTCCCTGATATATATATATATATATTTATCAGCAAATCCCTTGGGGCCTCTTGTTTTCGGGGCCTTCCAAAGAGCTGGCAGAAGCAGGAAGCATCAGGAAACATCAGCAAACAAACATGAAACAGCAGGAAACAAAGCAGCCCTTAAACGGAGAGCTCGCGCTTGCAAGTGGGACCGGGGACATGGTCAGGTGGACACACTGTTTAGGTGACAACGCAGGTGTCAGGGTAAGCTCCGCGACAGCACATTTTTATTGTACACGCTTCGTGCTGCCCGCCTCGGCCGCATCAGCCAGTTTCGGCTTGCTTTGAAGGGATTGCGTTTCGTTGTCGGCGCTCACTTCACGGGCGCTTGCAGGCGCTGTCGGCTCCCTTGGTGGGCAGTCTTGGTGGACGCTTGTGGGCGGAAGTCTTGCGAGCGATGTTCATGAGCGCTTTGCGGACGCTCCTTCGTGGGGCTTGTGGGCGCATGTGGGCCACAAGGGCGGAAGTCTTGCAAGCGTGCATCATGAGTGCTTGCGGGCGCTTGTGTTGCCTCTGTGGGCGCATGTGGGCGGCGTTTCATTGGGTGCTTGTGGGCGCGTGCGGGCGGGACTGTTGCAGGCGCTCCCTTCGTGAGTGCTTGCGGGCACTTGTGGGCGCTCTTGGTGCTTGCGGGTGCTTGTGGGCGCTTGTGGGCGGCAGTGTTGCGCTGTTGCGGGCGCGCTCAGCGGTCCATTTGGGCGCTTGCATTGCTTACATTACTTGGGTTCAAGCCGTTTTTTCATTGGGGTTGAACATGTTTACCTGACTCTGAGTGGACTGGCCAAAAAAGCAACCAAACTTGTCATTTACAACTAACATGGTCTTCCCAAAAATAACTAAAGTCCAGGAACCCATCACCCAAAGGGAAGGGTTCAAATCGCCGCGTGTTAATGTCTACAAGGGGGGCATTCAACGACACCTTCTGGAAGCATTTCTGGCCCGACAGCTGAGAAAGGCTGCCACCCCACGCAACCCCATAGCATTTGGCCCTAGCTGCGCCGCGCGTATCTAACCGTCATCCTATTCGAACATATGGGTGACTCCTCTTGTTTAAGGCTCGCAAGGAGATTGGGTGTTCCTTATACTTTCCCTGTAACACCACCCCACAGAGCTACCCTGTGTGTCAAATTCGGTCAGGTCTTGTGTCGTTTGCCCAGAACCCAAGCTTCTTTGGTGCCCTGCCCCAAAGGATCTGCACATAACAGCAGCCTTGCCTTTTCAACGCCCAATAAGACGCCCGCCCACAAGCGCCCACAACGCTGCCCACAAGCCCAGCCACAGACCGGCGCCCACATGCCCCGGAAGACGCCCGCAACACCGACGCCCACAAGCCCAGCAAGATGCCCGCAACGCCGACAAGCGCCCACAGGCCCAAACAGCACAAAACTGCCCGCAAGTGCCCACAAGAACATCAAAACCACAACGCCTAGAAAGATGTTCGCCCACAAGCGCCCACAAGCCCAAGAACACCGCCCACAACGCTGCCCAAGCCCAGCAAGAGCGTCACTCGCATGTGAGTACCTGGGAAGCTCAGTTTTAGACCCTTTGACCGGTTGATGGACAAAGGCGAAGCCTCACGTGTTGGGGTTGGACCATTTTAGTGGTTGTGGCTTTGGACATTTTTTTCTGAGCTTGCGCGGGCGTTGTTGCGGGCGTTCTTCCTTGTGGGGGCGTGGGTGGCGTTGTGGGCGTCGGTGGCCTGCGGGCGCTTGTGGGCGGTGTAGCCCGCTCTCTCTCTCTTTCTCTCTCTCTCTGGAGTTTGTGGGCGTTAGCGACTCCGGAGGCTTGCTTGTGGATGACCTCCAGCTACTTTTGTGAGTACCCAGGCGCACGTAAAAATTCAGCGCCTTGTGCGTGCGTGCGCGCACACACTGCGTTCGTGATTCAGTGTGCAAGAAACAGCTGCGGGGGGAAGGGAGAGAGGGAGGGAGGGAGAGAGGGAGGGAGGGAGGGAGGGAGAGAGAGAGACAGGGAGAGAGAGAGACAGGCAGGGAGTGATGCGCGTTTGAGTGCGAGTTGGTGTGTGTGTGTGTGAGCGTTTGTGTTGGTGTGTGCTTGTGAGTGTTTGTGAGTGTTTGTGAGTGAGTGAGTGAGAGAGAGAGAGAGAGAGAGAGAGAGAGAGAGAGAGCGAGAGAGTGAGAGAGTGAGAGAGTGAGAGAGTGAGAGAGTGAGAGAGTGAGAGAGTGAGAGAGTGAGAGAGTGAGAGAGTGACAGAGTGAGAGGCGTGCGTGCGTTGAGTGCGTGACTGCGTGGCTGTGTGAGCGCGTGAGCGCGTGAGTGAGTGAGTGAGTGAGTGAGTGAGTGAGTGAGTGAGTGAGTGAGTGAGTGAGTGAGTGAGTGAGTGAGTGAGTGAGTGAGTGAGTGAGTGAGTGAGTGAGTGAGTGAGTGAGTGAGTGAGTGAGTGAGTGAGTGAGTGAGTGAGTGAGTGAGTGAGTGAGTGTGTGAGTGAGAGAGCGAGTGAGCGAGTGAGCGGGTGAGCGAGTGAGCGTTTGTGAGCGTTTGTGAGTGTTTGTGAGTGTTTGTGTGTAGAGTGAGTGAGTGAGTCAGGGAGTGTGAGTGAGTGAGTGTGAGTGAGTAAGTCAGTGAGTGAGTGAATGAGTGAGTGAGGGAGGGAGGGAGTGAGTGAGTGAGGGAGGGAGGGAGGGAGGGAGTGAGTAAGTATGAATGGGCAGTTGGGTGGATGGGTGGATGAATGAGCGGGTGGGAGAATGAGAGTATTTCGTTTTAGCATAGGCGTTTACTATCTATTTTGTTTTCTCGCACGATATTAATTTATCCTAAATTATTTTATTTTTTTATTTATATATTAATTTAATTATTTTGATTTATCTATATTTATGCGCTTAATACTGCTAATATATATATTCTCTTATATTCTCTTATCTTCTCTCTTATAAATCGGTACGGCCTCGAGGTCGCATTTCCCGTGCGCCGGCAAGCCGTTGTAGCGGTACTCCGGCCGAATCGTCGTGCTTGCGGCGAGCGGCTATGCTTGTCCCGGTCTTTCTCCACGGCACAAGCTCCCGCCTCTTCGCGCGGCCCGGAAGGCCCCGAAATTTTGCCGAAATTTCAGGGGGTTCTTAACAACTTTGCTTAGAGTTCCCGCGGCGTAACCCGGCCAAATTTTCCCGAATTTTGGGTCGCTTCCGGCGACGCGGCTCTTAGGTTTCCGGACGTTACTACCTCCGCAAATTTCTTCGAAAAATTACCG